ATGAATTTAATGAGTTTAACGACAAATTGTTGAAGTAGTTGGGCTTTCTTTGTTACAAATAACACAGCTATTCCCCACTTTAAAATGTGGCTAGACATACGCAGGACAAGAGATTAAGATGTGTTAGTTGACCCTTCTCTTCTGTAGAGCATGGATGGTATTATGGTATGAGCAAGCAAAATCAAGGATCACAGATATATATCAGTAAATTAAAGAAGAGAATAACTAGTTTTACTTTACATGAGAAAGCAGTACATAAGCAGAAAACGGTCTTTTTCTAGTCAAAATACTGATGTCAACGAGTAGTATAATAATTTAACAATTATTGACTGTACTGAAGTTTCAGTTACACAGACTTCAATGCAGAGAAGTCACTGTGCTTAGAAATGCCTGTGTCCACTGCATGCTCTGTGCAGTGAGAATCCTTTATCACAGCCCTCTTCTCCCCAGTAAAATAAAAATACTTGCAATTTCTTTGCAAGGGTACTCTGAGGATAACTACATTACAGCTCCTTGAAAAATACATTTTACCAGGAGCCATTCAGGTGCTGAAGATCCAAACCTGTTGTTATAACTGTTGTTATAAAAATGCACTTATATTAATTTTCTTGTTGATAAGGGTTGTATTTTAAGTACCCAGGAGTAATTTGCGATACCTTTAACTTCTTGGCCTCTTTATATTAGTTGTGGGAGTTTTCTGTAGTAGAATTCTACCCCTTCCCATTTTAGCTCAAATTATCTGGGAAGCTAAAAATACAAGAGATTCATTCAAAGTCTATGGGAATAAGATGGCCATGACTTGCCTACAGCTCTCTCTGAAAATGCTTTTTGTCTCTGGAGGGATCATACTGAGATGGTTGTGAGTAATACATTGTGGGAGCTTTTCCCTTTAACACAGCTGTTGTTTTAATCATGTGCCAAGGATTTAAAACAATTGTGATTTATTAGCTAGGGAAATAGAAACTTGATGTTACACTCCTTGCCAGATTTTGTAGAGATCGGATCTGTATTTTCATCTTTTTTTATTTGTCATGAAGAAAAAATATACTTTCTATTTTGTTACCTTGTCTAAAATTAGAAACATTGGAGTGGAATTGTGGTAGAAGTAGACTTTGCACATGGTATCATAATCCTGAAGTAGTAGTGAAGCACCAGTTGAAATTTTAGGACTAAGGCAAATAATATAAACTTCAAAATTATCTGCTGGAGTAGAAAATATAATTTTATATTTATAGATTTATAAAGTTAAATATTGACTTTTTATAGGTCATCCTTTCTCAATATATAAGTTCATGCAGTATTATACTGGTCAGATGACAGCAGGTTTGGTATCCTCATGCAAGGCCCGTTCTCCTTCCTTCTTCATTTTTCCTGTTAGTATATGGAAAGGTTTAAGGAAAGGTCAGTATCATAATCTTTTGGCTTGAATTAACTGCACATGTGAGCAGTGCTATGCATACATGAAGACACTAGAAGGCAAACACAGTGTGGAAGCTACATGACATAGTTGAAGGGCATAATACAGAGTATATAGATTTTAATCTTTCCTCCTTTCTCATTCTTCAGTAGTTCTGTGATTAATGTGTGTCAACGCTCTCAGGCACATGGTGTGATTCTTGGGGATGGTCCTGGGCAGGGCCCGAAGTTGGACTTGATGATCCTTGTGGGTCCCTTCCAACTCAGGATATCTCATAATCTTTCTTTCTGAGGTATGTGCAAAAGGAGGACTTCCACACTGGATGCAAATGAAGTATATTTTACAGTCTTCTAGGCGCTTTTCCTTACTGTCACATGCACTAATGTGTTGCTAGTTTAAAACCAGAAAGAAGATTAATCTCCTCGACAGTCCTGGGTAGCTGCTAAGAGAACCCAAGTTCCAACTCCAGAGACCTTGTCTGAGGGTAATTAAGCTGTGAATTTAAGTGTCTGTGCTTATAAAGGAATTAGGCATAACCTTCTGTTCGGCTCTGAAATCTGTTAGGAAAGAGTGGGATTTTAAAACTAATCAGTGCAGTTTTATTGGGGCACTTTAACTTAAAATTGGTGTAGATTTTTATTTTAATTCATTCGACATTTGCTTTTACTGGGTTAACATATGCAATGTCCAGGTGCCTTTTTTTTTTCTTTTTCTTTTTTTTTTTCTTTTTGTTGTTAAGGTAAACCTTCCACTTACTAGTGAGGCTATTCTTTTCAAGGTTTATTTTTTCAACTGCAGTCTTCCCACTTGTCACTTGCTTGGCACCTTAAGGTGTGGATAAAATCTACACTCTAGCCTTCCTTTCATCCTAGCTGACATGTATGAAAATGCTGCTAATTTCACAGAATAGCACCACAGAAGGATCTGGTGCTTCCAAAGGTAATGGCTAACCTGGTAGCCTTATGCAGATAGATAAAGAATAGTTTAAGAAATATGTGTGCCTTGAGGATTGAAAATAAAAGAATAATTAAAGGCAAAGTGCATATTAGTAAAAGGATAATAATTATTACTGACTTTTTCAAAATACAGGATGAGTCAATGCAACCATCTCAGTTTAGGTGTCACACAAAATTCACGTGACAAAAATGTTCCTTTATTGGCTTTGTAAAGTTGTCATTAAGCATTCTAAAGCTGACACACCAGCATATTGGTTTCTTTAGTTCATTTTTTTGTACAACTTTTGTACTGCTTAAGCTTACCATTCTCTCCAACTAATCTTGACATTTATTAGAATATAATATGGCAAATGTTTACACATTTAAGAAAAAAATAATTCTGTGTTAGTTGCTCTTGTTCTATTAATATGACCCAATATATCCTAATATATTCCTTTTTTTGCAACCAAATTTTACAGTCTTTATTCTGTGAAGTCTGTCAAGCACTTTGAAAGAACAGTGGATTGTCTAGACAGCAAATCATGCATATGCAAACACACTAATTATGATAGCCTTAAAATTGTAAATTCAAGATAAAGCTCTTCAAATGGAAAAATATGATGATATGAATGTAGGAACTGTAGCTCTATTAAAAACAGGATGATTTTATGTACTATTCTGCAAACCAGGTGCCTATTTCCAAACGAAGTTTGCATAAGGAAATATAGATTCAGAGCAAAGAAGATTATCACCTACATAAGCACAGCAAAAAAGGATGGCCGTCCTGCTGATATTGATTCTACTTGATTTTTGGTTTTTGCATAGTTGCTTCTTTTTTTTTCTTTGGAGATTTGAACATTATGAGCATCAGCCAGTCCAGCAAAGGCATTAAGCATGTGTTCATCTTTGACCTAAGTGGGAACATTTATCTGCTTATTTTAGAGAGACCTAAATGATGTTCTAAATTATTTGCTGTTTTCAAAGCCTGCAGTCATTCACCATGTGAATTTACCTTTTAACTTCACTAGGAAGAAGATTAGCTACTCTGCCAAAGTTTTTCTTTGCTTTTAAAAAGAATAATTAAAGTTTTCCATCTTTATCTCATGCTATTTCTGAGCTCGGCTTGTGAAACAAGGCTGGCGATTGAGGTCAGGTGCTACAATCTTTTGCTGCTGTTTAGTATGACCCAGTAAAAGTGCATTTTCTTAAAAACATGGCTTTCTTTTTCTACTTCTTTTCCCTGTAGATAATGCATACATGGTTGAGGCTGTTTTCTTTCTGACTTGATTTTATTTTCCTTACATGTGAAGTTTTGAATCAGATATAGAATAGTCTGTATCCCACCAGAGGAACTGAAAATTAAAATGGTCTTTCATGGTGCATTGAGGTGGTGTTTCAGTTGTGCCTTTTTACCTCAGTCCTGGAGTGAAGCATGTGGGTACATATTTTTCCAGAATTATACTATTCTGTCCAGTAGACCTAAAATATAATAATTCTGTCTGTTGGAGTGAGTGTGTAGTCAGCTGGCCCCCTATTAATAATTTTACAGTTCGGCTACTTATTTTTATGAGATCCCAGTTATGCAGCATTAGAGAGCAGATGTTCCTGGTGTAATCGGATAGTAATTTTTACTTTATTTTCTAATTTGTAGTGAAGGATAGATGATTTGATTAGACCAAGGCCTCTGTCAAACCTCCACTCTACCTCAAGCTGATCCCTCGACCTGAAAGAAAGAACAAACAGTTCTGCAATATTTTTTTGTTGTTCCTCTTGTTGTGTGCTGTACCTTAGCTGTGTTCAGATGAATACAGAGCACCGATGAGATAATTTTGAAGTCTTTTTCGTCCTTGCTAAACTTTGTCTATGGTTGGAAAATAATTTTGTAGCAGATTTAAGCACACATTTTTAAGAGCAAATTAGAATAGAGGCTTGTTGGCAGTAACAAATTATGGTATGCTAAAAATCCTTGTTACTAATATTGAGATGTGGAGACTAATAAATGAGGAAGAGGAGCTCTGAAGGAAAAGATACCAGTAACAAACTTGGTTTCAGCATACGGTAATTTTAGAACTTGTCATGACTAAAAGTTTTTGCATATATCTGACATGCAGTTGGAATTAGTGATATTTATCCAAGAGGTAAAATTAATTAATTAACAATTGTTGCTTCTATTTTATGTTTTTGTTTGTTCCTTAAGTGCCCCAGACTGTGGTAGATAAAATCTTATGTGCATAGACCTTTTAAATTTTATAAACCTCATTTTGTGCAGTCTATTGGTTAAACATCAACATGCACACACAACCAGATGGCATTGTATTTCTTAGGCTAAAAGCAAGAAATTCAAGGCACTTGTTCATATTAATCTATCCTCTTTCATGACTGCTTCAATTGTTCATTATTTTAATTAGCCCACAGAAGTTTTAATTTGTGTTTTTACTTTTAAAGAACTTGTGAATAAATGTGTGGTGAAGAGATGTTGGTTCACAATCTGTATCAATGCTTTTATGACAGGTTATGATGGTAACCCTACCTTCTTCCTAAGATGTTAGATGATGTACTAAATACTCAGTGAAAAACAAGGGACTATTACAGTCTGTTTTGTTGTGTCTAGGTATAACCATGTCCTTACTTTCCCTCTGTTTTTGCAGGGCACAATGACTACATGTGTCCTGCTACTAATCAGTGCACCATTGACAAGAACAGAAGAAAGAGTTGCCAGGCTTGTCGACTGAGAAAATGCTATGAAGTGGGAATGATGAAAGGTGGTATGTACACAGCCATCAACAAATCCGCAGCATTGTTGTCTGCCTTCCTGTCTTTCGACTTCTTTGGGCAGTTGTTCTGGTTTTTAACTAAAGGAGGAAGTAACTGATTTTATTGAGCTGAAGTGTATTACATCAAAGAGTGATTAAATAAAAAATTAAAAACAACCTAATACCATGTTATCTTGCCCAAATTTGCATCTGAAATAATAGGAACATTGACTTCAATGAAATTAGAATTCTTCTGTTATTATTTTTAACTCATTATTTTTTTGGTCTCCCATGGTAAACTTCAGATTCTGATGAATATAAGTTAACACAAGATTTTGCAGCATTTTGTAGTTCAGTGTGAAGAGCATTGGTAGGCTCCAATTAGTCCATATTCATTAAAATAAACTTCCGAATGTGTAATACTTGTTCTGTGAATACTGGAAGGGAAAGTAAATTCCTCAGTTCCAGTACTGTACACATATTTTAGATATGAGTTAATTTAATCCAACCATATTAAAGGATTGTTTCATAAAAACTGAGTTAAATGCCACTTTCTTGGAACACACTTATGTAATAATGATGTCAGAGAAGAAGAATCAGGCACTGAATGCTTAGGCTGACGTGGAATACCACTGAGTTACTTCATTTCTGCACATTTAACATATGTCTGTATGTTTAACTTTTGGATGCAAAATTAGAAATACATGACAATACTGAAAAATCACTATGTTGTCTTCCTAGATAGAAGAGTTCTTTTGTAACATAGTTTTGGATCGATCATGATACCTTCCTTTCTCCTCTGTGTTATAGTACCTTATGTTTGTCAGAAGCAGACAGAAGTCTGCTCTTTTTAATCCTTTTGAAAATGCCATGCTCCTAGGAATTAAGAACATTAAAGAACAGGTAATCATAACATTTCATAGTCACTGGAAAGCAAAAGAAGACCTTGTTGTAGCCTACTAAAAATATCAGATTGCTTTTATTAATGAAGAGTAATCAGTAGCTGTATTGAAACTTATATCTATAGGAAAAAATTAGCAAAATGCTCAGAAGAGAAGGGATTAGATCCTATGACTTTAGTGTGAAAAGAGCTAACTAAATTACAGACTGGCTCTCCCTTTCTCTGGCACACCTAATGCTTACTTATGTCACAAAAAATCTGGAGCAAGAGAGAGAAGTAGCTCATCATGTTTGTCCTTTTCGCAACAAAAGATTATTTCTAAGTCCAGTCAAGGTAGGTCAAGTCTGGGAATCTTGGGAGAAAAAGCAAAGGGGAAAAAGTAAAGGATAACTGGTGAGTTGTTGATGCATTTCGAGGTTGCATCTGCATTTTTCTAACTCAAAGATTAGTAAACGACTGAGACTGATTTTGTTAATCTCAGTTTTGGGAGCAAGCAGGAAGAGCGTGTAAAATCTCTTTTTAATTCTAACACGACAGTAGTTGATTTTTTTCATGAGATTTAGTGTATTGGTCCAGACATTTTTCTTTTTCTGTCTTAACATCCTGGTATATACGACCAGAACTCTTTAAAGTAAAATATATGTAATTAGTATCACAGCTATGATCTGGAGAAGGTAGAGTTTCAGATAAGGCAAACTAAAATCAGAAAATCCCATACATAAATTTGCCATGCACCTTTGGCTTTGACCTTTGTACATATGGCAGATTATAGTTAGGATATATAATTATGATTTATGTTGATGATATTACATTTTTCACTTGGCACATTTACATCCAATTATGCTTACATGTATTTAATTAGTGATCCACTGTACCAGTTTTTCATATCTCTTCTCTAAGATGCACGTTGTAATAGGTTTTTGACTGTTCCACATGTAATTGTTTTACTCATATAAAAATTGTGAAGAATCTTCAACTATTATTATTTACATTAAAGTAGTCCAAAAAAAAGACTGTAATTCTGTCCAAATTTCTTTGAAATATAGATGTTCTGGAATTTTTATTTCATACAGTGGCCGTCACTTGAGAAAAGTCCTCTGGATTTCTTTCTTTCCTTTTACATTGCTGTAAGATTTCTATGGTCACTGCAACAACTGGCTGTTGTGGGCTTTTTGGTTGTGGATTGTTTTTTGTTTTTTTTTTTAAGGAACTCAACTCACAATTTAAACACAAGAAGATCAGGATCAGCATAAGTTGTGTCCGCTCCTATAGGATAATGCACTGAAGTCATCATTGGTTTATAGACGAGAATTTAAAAATATTTATTTTATGGAGTCTTGGAAAAAAATCTTGAGATTCCTCAGTTGCACGTAATAAATCTGGCATGCCTGCAGATGAAGTATTCAAAGAGGGGAAAGTCAAAGTAGATGAAATAAAGTATTCAAGATCCTTCTGGAGTCATTACTGATCCCCTATTGTCTGAATAGATGTGATGGAAAGAAAAACTTTTCTTCTAAAGGTAGACCTTTATAATTGTCACATTTCTCTTAGATGAAGATTGCAGAATCTCAGAATATACTGAGTTGGAAGGGACCCACAAGGATCATCAAGTCCAACCTTTAGCCCTGCACAGGACCATCCCCAAGAGTCACACTGGGTGCCGGAGCGCATGATCCAAACACTTCTTTAACTCTCTCTGGCTTGTTATGCTGTCTGGTTAACTTTAAAGTGATAACCCTTAAATTTCTTTTGTTGTTGTTGTTTTCTCTGAGGAGATCTCTTAAGCTTTTGTGTTTTAATAGGTATCTTATAATAACACTTTTCTTCAACACACATATCGTGTAGCTCTGGTTAACTCAAGGTTCACAATGTTCTCTAATAATTCATAGTTCTTGTGATTGAATCTTAATTTAAATAATCTCTTCTTGTCCATATTGAAGGATTTGCCTTTTTCTTAAGCGTTAATTCTGTCACACATTTGAATATTCAGTTGTATCTTATCTCACTTCTATGTCTATCTCCACAATTTGATTATGATGATATGCCTTCTAGATATAGTGGAAAACAGCTGTAATATTTATTTTCTCTAAATATAATCTCAGTTTTACTTCTGCACTAAGTTAGCTGAGGTTTCTTAACACATTGTCAAAGTTGCTAACCTGTGATTTTTATCTGTCATTTAACTTCTGAGTAATAACTCATATTAATTATTGAGTTTCAGTAAATGTGGGGGAAGGCAGACAAAATCTTGATTTAATGTCTCTGATAACTCTAAACATAGGATATGGACTATGGTTGCTGATGCTTTTCTCATAGAAGGTTACAAAATAGCATAGAAAAGTTATAATTTTTAGTAGAGTGGACACAACTGAAATGTATTTTTGGGGCTTCATTTAGAAAAGATACAGGCTTCAGGTGGCTCTTGAGCTGTATGGTAGGAACATTTATTTATGAGTTTCTGTGGAAATTTTATTGATTTGGTTTTTTTTGTTCCACTGTTCTTACATCTTTTAAAAACTTCTTTCAGTACCGAAGAGTTATTTTCTTTCTCTCCTCTTACATTTACAAGTTTGTAACTGTGCTTCTTCAAGAGACAGTTAGGCTGCCAGAATCTCTGCTGATGCAGTCAGCATCCGAGGCATAATTTATAGCTGTTATATTTTATCCAAATGCTTCACTCTCCGAATAAGCCCAGAAGACCTTAAAATTATATATTATTATTTAGTGTGTGCTCCCCTGTTTGTAAGTGAGGATAAAGTGGACACATAGAACAAAGGTCCTTGTCATGTCCCTCTTCTGTTAGGTAGCAGGAAAGAGTAGCCTTGTTTTTATTATGACCTACTGATGCCTTCTTGAAGCTTTTTCTCTTCTGGTTTGGAAAACTATATTCCAACTTGCTATTTCACATGATGGGGGGACTCCCATCGTCCAAATGGAGTTGTTACAACAGTTGCAACCCTGAAGCTCCAAACATATGTATGCTGCAGGTGATCTCTGTTCCGATATGGACCTAGTTTTCCATTTCTTCATTGGTTTAATGACTTTCTGATCACTTGGCTCCAAAGAACCTAATTTTATGAAACCAGAAGTACCTTATTTTTATTGCTATTTATTAATTAAGTGCTTTTATAGTGTGGTACCTGAATGGGGGTTTCTAGTTATTAGCATGATACATTCGTCCCCTCCTTTCAATGTGTGACAAGTCAGATTAATCATTGAATATTCTGTGTGATCTGAACAACACAGTATTAGTGGGATTAGTGGCTATGGAAAAAGTGTACCAGAATGTTAAATGCTAGATCCTTAATGAAAAATCAGTTATTTGCAAGATAGTCTATGTTTAACCATCCCAAAAACTGTGTAATTCTTTCAGTTATCGAATACTGATAGCTTCCTAATCTGAAGTCATGTGAAATGTGGCCATCAAGGATTTGAGTGCTCATGTGCTAGATCAAGATGGCCATTACATATGCAACCAGGGGTATGTACTGTCTTTGGACAACCTGAAATTTCATGTTGTAGAGAGAAGATTCTGAGGGTTGATTCTTGTGATAATGAAAGTCCAGAATTGCAGTGCACTTGAAGCCTACGTCCTTCAGTGTTGCTCTCACAAAGTGTCTGAGAATATTTCAGAGATCACTGTGGTACAGCTCAGGGAATAAAAGTCTGTGTTTGCTGTAACAGGGTGCTGTAACCACATGCCAGGTGACTGTAGAAACTTTCATTAAGTCCTAGACACTGGGGTCTTTAGGCTTTTCTCTTACATTCTCCAGTGCAATCACATGGAATTCAATCTGGTTCAGTGTGACAGTCTTGCTGAAGTTTAAGATAAATTTTTACAGGGAAAAGAGAAAAACATTTGGCAATTTTTCCATCCTCTCAGAGAAGGACCTTGCTAATTTTTGTCTTTAAATGGAGAGAGCTATGCTTCCTTGCTGAATGCTATATTTATTCATGCAAAAAGGCTAGAGAGTTGTTAAAATAATTTTCAAAAGTAGAGGTAAATTGATGTCTGGTGCAACCACTGGAAGAGCTCAAGGCCTTCTAGTTTTCCATGTAATTATCTTCAATTAAATATTATATTATACAGAGAAATTAGTGAATGAATGAA